TTGTCTTCACGGCCCCCGTATATATATTTTTCCTCTGTGTCGTACGTTTTGCGGATCCGAGCGTCTAACAAACGCTGTTTCTCCACGTGGCCGGATGTTTACGCGCGTCACGGCTCCTCGAGGGGACAGAGGAGGTGGAGGAGGAGGAACGAAATGGAATCGGTGTTCCCAATCGCGTGGCAACTTTAATTTTGTTTTTTTAATGGAGAGATCGCGATGCGTATCGAGTGCTTTGCATTACTCGCTTGTTATTGGATCGATAATTTATATAATTTCTTCGCGTAGATTTTTCAAGATATAAAAATATGAAGAATTGAAGATTCGTGAAAAATATTTATTTATTTTTTTTTTAAACGATATCTTGGAGAGGAAACGGAAGGTTAATCTGCGTGGTAATTTTTTTTCTTTTTTTTTAATTACGTACAATTGGGGGATTGTGAATGTCGACAGATTTCAAAGGATCGGATGTCGAGAGGGTTATTATCAGTTTGGAGAGTTGGCTTCGTCGCCGAATAAATTTGCCGGTGAAACCGAAAGTAATCGAGGAGGAGAAAGGCAAGCTCGTGCAAGAAACAGCCCCGGCGGGAGGTCAAGAGAGACCAGACGAGTTTTTCGCGCGCTCCGCCAAGAATCGGTCGTAGGTTCTTTCTTCGTGGGAAGAAGTTGACTTCTGGAAGCGACCAAGAGAAAAATCGCACCGTGTTTGTTCCACGATCGCTGCATGTTTGCCAGATTCTGTCGCCCGTTTCCATCTCCTTCGCTTCTTCGCCTATCCTTGTATTCATCTTAATTGCACTCATTTCGTCTAATTCGTTTAACGATCGAAGGGAATTGATGATAAAATACGATTAGATTGTTACGATACAAACAAGTATTCGAAAAGAAGAGACATTAATACGAAGAATTTTCATAATTAACTCGTTATCGGAGGAAAGTGCTTGAGAAAATCGATCCTATAAAGGCTTATTTATTTTCTTCGACCAATCGACGCAAACAATCTTATTAATTTATGGAAATAATTGAAATGTGATATAAGAGAAAATGGCGTATCCACCGATCAAAGACTTTTTCCCCGACTCTTTCTCTGATACACGGGACCCGAATGCAGCTGGGTATCGGTCGAAGAGAGAGCCAGTTTCGAAGTCGATGGTTCGTCTGTTGTATATTTCATGAACGGTGAGTTTCCATCCTCGTCGATGCGCGAAGAGAGAGGGACGATCGATCGAGAGATCCGCGCCGCTGACGCGGTACGAACCACGCACGATCCCATCACTGGACCCGTTTTATTATACGTGACGCTCGCGTCTGCGAAAAATTGCGTTTTTTCACGGCGCACGGGGGCTTTACGGCTCGCGATAGGGGTGATTACGCCGCGACCCGTGATTACCAAAAACCTTCCAAGCTTGTGCGCCACCCTTGCGTTTCCCCCGCATCAGCATCATCTTCGAAATTCTCTAAAAAAACACGGAATATTATTTACCCTCCTTCTCCCTTAGTTGTTCTTCGGGCCAAATCTCACCTCCCCTTCTCCTTCCATCTCAAATTTTTTTGTCTTTTTTTACATCGTTACACGTAAAATTTTCTAATCACCGAAGCTCTAGTATCCTCTTTCCTTCCGATTTGAAATTCTCCGATCTTTATCGTCGATGTACAAAAATTTGAATACTTGTGCACTAATAGTAATAATTCCAAGTATTACATAAAACGCAAAAAAAACTTCTCCAACGAGAATCGATAATCGAGCAGCGTTATATCACTCGTGTAAAATCTATATCTCGCAATGTATATTAATTTTCGAAGGCCGCGCGTCACGTGGGTCTCGTGATTTCCAAGCGACATCGACCAGACTCTCCATTCGCCTCCCAGTGTCACTCCATCGTTCTCCAACCTCGTTTACCTGTCTCTCCTCTCCGCTTCGACCCACACGCGATCCACGCTTCAAGGTTTCCGCTCGCGGATCGCTCCGCAGACGGCTCTCTCTCTCTCTCTCTTCTCTTTCCCCTCCCTGTCTCTCTCCGTTTCCTCGTGAGCCTCGCAAAGCCGCGCGATTGCACACTGCACCATTGCACCGCCGTGGGGCCATTGGCCTCGGTATCGTCGTCGCTCCTCGACGGCGACACCGAGCTCGAGCCGAAAAGCGGCGCGCCAACAGAGCGAGCTTTTTTGCGCGCCCGTGCCC